TTAGCAATATTACAAGTTCTAATAAAAAAAATGAAATAAGAAAGGAAGACTTTAACCATACATCAATTTCTCGTGGGGTGCGGTTGAGAGCAATAGAGTGGATTTTGTGGCTTTTACCATACATCAATATTACAGGTTAGTATGTACATGGTTGGTGTTATGCTCATTTTCTATGCCATGCCTTTCGCAGCTTTTTTTTTTTTTTATGACAATTTTGATTTCATTATCTTTTAAAATGTTTCTTTCATATAACTTTTAAATGAATTTTTTTATAATTTAATAATTCTCTTTGGAAATACATAGCCCAATCATAGTTTTTTTTTAATAATTTACTAAGAAGATGACCAAACAAGCAAATCTTACAATCAATAAATTATTATAAGAATTAATTACTATATTTGATCAACATTTATATATAATCTTTTCGTGCATGCACGGGGAAGAAATTAAAGCATGATAAGTGGCATTGTCAAGGGTAAGAAGTATGGATGAATTTCAAATTTTGTTGCTTGATCATGAAAATACTAGTAGAAGAATAATAACAAAAATGTTATTTACCTGGAGTTCTTTAAGAACTTGGGCTCATGAAATGTTTTGTATCTATTTTGATTGTCATTCATTTTATGTTTGATTTCATGATGTTGTAGTAATGGATTAATATTTTCTTTGTTGGTAACGGAGATTTGCAAACAGAAGAAACAGAATTTCTTTGTGTTCAGAATGCATTCTGTTACGTGATAAAGTAATAATGTCTGAATTAATACAATATCAATAAAAATAAATATATAGTTTTTATAAAAGGTTGTTCTTTTAAGATTGGCATTGGAATGGAACAGCTAGGGTCACTTAATAATGTGACTCTCTTTCTTTTTTTCCTTTTTGCTTTTCCCTTTCCTTTTTATCTGTATCTTTTTAATTGTGTTTTATAATATATTCATTTTCCAGGGAAAATAAAAAACAGAAATAGACTTATTGGACTAGGGAAGGGGAACAATGCCTTTGTTCTTTTAGGATATTAAAAATCTACAACCCAAGCCACCGAGGTTTTTTGGAAAAAAAATTGCTGGGCATGTTATAAACACTAACTACTTTCTATGTTTATAGCGAGATTACAAGGTGGTATATCTTATAACAGCAAACAGGTTAAGGGAAGAAGTTGAATATTCTCTAAACAAGATTTGGAGTTCTGAGTCTTGTAAATGAAAAAATATATAAATAATGGAAGTGCTATTCTTATTTAAAGGATTAATGATTTCATATCGAGAAAAAGAAGTGCGTTTCTCCACTTACCTATGTAATATAGTGATACATGTGACTTTTCTGGAGTGGCCAAAAGTGAAGATAGAAACTTCCATGGACAAGAAGATGAAGTGATGGTAACATCTGCCTAGAAGCGTGTGTGGACAATTAAGGGCTTGCATTATTACAGGACGCCTATGAAAGTGAAATATTTTTTTATACACAACGATATTCAAGAAACCAACAAGCATGGGTATTAGTAAATAGAACTATAATCACTTAAACATGATAATTTCAATTTGAGTCTGTGTGAATATAATAAATGTTTTTAAGAGAGTTTTTTCTAATTAAACCCAACAATGTTTGAACTTGATTTAGTCAAATAACATATAAGAAAATTAATAATGTTTGTGCAAGGGATCAATAATAATTGTTCATACAATCTATATAACTGACTTTATTTAATGAAATAATGCTAGTTGTTATTGTGCAAGGTGTTAAAATATCATTGACAAACTCTCTCTTTTTCTCTCCAATTTTCTCTACTTTGATAGCCAAAGAAGGAAAAATGCAGAGGCAGTGAAGTGGGATCATTCCAGAAGATCAATTTTTTTAAATAGTCTAAGGAGATGAAATTGGAACAATGGAGAAGGCGGTGGAGAAAATTATAGCCGACATCCAAGCAGCATAAATAAGAGGCGGCTTTGATCATGTGGAATGCAAGTGAGATAAGCAGGAAAGTGAGCGAGGAATAGAGAAGTTTAGAGAGTGAAGTGTGTGCAGAGAACTTGGCCCAAATAAAAAAGAAAGTGTGTGGAGATAAGAAAGAAACAAAAGAGAGACGCTAGTGCGTTTGATAGAGTGTGAAAAGAAAAAGAAAAAAGCGGCATGAGAGCAAAAAAAGTTGAGTGTGCATGAGAGATTGAGATTATAGCGGAAGCGTCGGCAAGAAAGAGAAAAAGAGGAAGAATGAGGAAAAAAAATATAAGAGATTAATGAGTGTTTGTATATATTATAGTTTGAGTAAATATTAAAAATATATTTTCAAGTTAATCCCTCTCTTTCTCCCTTCTCAAATCCCAACACAAGGAGCACAAGGGATCAATAATTAAAACGTGCATTTATGTTTTGACCCTTTGGGTCTAGACCAAAATGTGCATTTGGGAGAAGGCATTAGTTTAAAACACAAAACATATTTATTTATAAATTAATTTTTTATTTATATGTTTTTTAAATATTTTTTATCATTATTTTTGAAAAAACAACTATGTAATATGATGCATATATTACTGAATAGCATACCAAGGAAAATGATATCAAAATTTAAAAAAGAAGAAAGGAATGCAAAAATTTATAGACGATATTAACCTTAGCAACAACAAAAAAAACTAAGCAAAAGAGTGTGAAGATGCATAAAAATTTGCTTGCTCAAAAGATGAACAATATATATATATATATATATAAAGATTATTAATAATTTATAGAAGATATATCACACACTTTTGGAAAATACTCATGGTCATGGAGGAGTTAGTAGATGAAGCGCCAATGAATCGTGGAGCTGTAACTAAATTTTGGGAAAATTATTCACAAGAACTAAATTTAGAAACTAATTATTCTTAAAGGCCAAAGTAAAAGTGTTGAACATTGATTACGAAAATTTATAAATGTCCGTTTAATTATTTAACACTTTTGATCTTTAGGAATAAATAATTTCTAAATTTAGTTATTCTGAATAATTTCCCTTAAGTTTTAGGCTTTGGATGTTTTGATTTGTGGGAGTAAACTATGTGTAAATAGCCAAAAAATAATAATAAATAAATAAGAGACTTCGGTATAAAGTATCAATAGTAAACTTCAGAATGAAAAACTGTAAGTTTCAATAATTAAAAAATGAAAATTTTAATCTTCTTGAGAGGGGGGGAAAAAAGAAGCATTGAGCTTTTGGATTAACCGGTAAAAGAGTTTATCCCTCTTAACTTTAAATCTTGTGTTCAAGCCCCGTATATGCTATGATGATTAAATTTTTGATAGGAAACATATGCCTCCCCATGGAGGTGCCCACTGGCCATAAGCTATTGATCAAATTAGTTAAGATCAAAGATTTGAGATATAAAAATTAATTGGGGAAAAAAAAAGTAAATAGTAAAAAACTTTTCTGCAGGAACGGATCCAACCCATTTTTAGCCTTTCAAAAACTTCATTCGAATACAAGCCTTTGCCCAACAGTAATATCAATTAGTACTGTTTTTATCTTTTGTTTTTATCTATGTTATTATTAAGGTTCCCCGAAGTTGTAAAAATTAACATGGCTCATTTCGATCTAAGGAGGGATTCCAAAACACAATATCCCTCTTCCTCCACTCACTGTCGTTTTGCTTTCTCGTCCTCCTCCGAGTCCTTTTTCGCTCTGTGCCTTCATCACAGCCCCTTCAAGTTGCTTCTCTTCCGTAGATCATCATCCTTGGAGCTTCGGGCGCGTCTTGAATTTGTCGGTTCTCGCTCGACTGCCTCTTTACTTTGTCATTTTCCTTCTGGTTGGATGACGTTGGGAAATTGAAGGTAGACCCTACTAATTGAATATAAAACAACTCTTTCATGAATTATTTGTTCTCCTTTGAAGGCTTTTCAGTTTTCATTCGTGATCCACCTTAGGATGGAACAGGTTTTGGATATGGAGAGACTTGGGGTCAACTCCCCTAATCTAGATTTACCAGTGGCCAGTTTTTCTGTCTAATATATATATTTTTTTGGGGTATAAAATCAAGAATAAGCATTGTAATTTGAATGAAAATAGGAATAGCGATGGGATGGGATTTGATGATAAAATCATAAAATGAGAAAAGTATATTAGGTATGCTGTGCAAATGAATGGATATTTATATTTTGTTGCACAATAATATCATTAACAGAAAAATATATTAGAATCCCAACTCTACCGAATGTATTAACAGAATCTATTTATTGCTCTCAACTCGGGGATCTCTGTTGTGGTGAAGACTGCTTATACTTAAAAGAAAAATATATTGAAATATTTTCTATAATTTTTTAATTATTTTTTAAATCTATTGAATGAAAATAATTTTTTATACAATATTATTTTTAAAATAGTTTATTTTAATACTATACCGTTATTTTACATTAATTTTAACAGTTCAAGACAACATTAATTAGTAAAATAAATTAACAATATAGAGAAAGTTGAAAGAAACTCTAATAGATCAATTATATTTCTAAGTGCCCGTTTGGATTTCAATTAGGTATAATAGATTATGAAAATAATTAATTAACTGGTAGATTTTAATCACAATTGATTATGTTATAACACAATTTTTTTGGATACTGTTTTTTTAAAATTAATTTTAGCATAATTGAAGTTGTTTGTATAATTTAATCATAGTCAATTTTAACTATATAAATTACTATATAATTTAATTTTTAAACTCAAAATATCAATTTTTTGACGATATAAAGTTTAAATTTTATTGAAAAAAAAAGATAAGAAAAGGGAGTTTAGTTTTATTTTTATTTAATGTTGTGTTTTTTTTATAATTTTTTCTTAGACCTTTCTTTATAATTTTTTCCAACACTTTTGATCAAACTTTTCACAGAAAGCTGATTGGGAGAGCTTCCAAAAAAACGTGCTTTTATGGCAATAATTAATTTTTGACTTTTTCTAGCTGTTTGGATAACTTGGCTCAAAAAATTAATTTTGGACTAAAAAATCGATTATCACGCCTATCCAAACACACATTAATATATGCACTGAATTTTAAGAGATGATTAAAAAGTTGGAGGTGTAACACAAGATACATAAACACAAACAAAATGTAATAAACCACCCCTATGCCTGTACCAAGTAGGCAAGTGCCAACACTATACTCCTTGGATGAAGAACATGCCAACTTCAACTTCAAGTCCCTAAACTGAGAGAACGAGATTTTTAGCAAATTATTGTTCCTTTTCATCCTTGATTCCATTTTCTACAACCACATCAATGGCACAATCCATAGAAACTTGCTGAATTCGCGAAGCCAACTCAATGTGGAGAGCATCTTCAAGCTCGCACAGTACATACCCCATTGGTGGTCTATTTGTGCGACTCTCCTCTAAGCACTTCCAAGCCAACTCTCTCACCTTGTTTAGAGAATCTAAGTTCACTTTCCCCATCAAATTTGGGTCTATAATCTCATAAAAGGTGTCCTTATCTTGGCAGCTTGATGCCCATCTTGCCAAATTAATATGTTCTGTTGGACGAGTGTCGTCTATAGCAGGCTTGCCACAAATAACTTCCATCAGAACCATCCCAAATGAGAACACATCTGATTTCTCTGTGAGATATTTTGTTCTGAAATACTCAGGGTCTAGATAACCAAAGCTACCCTTTACAAGGGTTGTTACATGACTCTTTTCTAGAGGCGGACCTTTTCTTGAGATTCCAAAATCAGCGACTTTTGGAACAAAATTCTCATTCAAGAGAATATTTGCTGTCTTCACATCACGATGGATTATGCCTTGAGCCGCCCCTGTGTGAAGGTAATGAAGACCCTTTGCAGTCCCAATGCATATTTCTAGTCGTTGCTTCCATGATAGAGGAAGAAAGTTGGTCCCATAGAGATGGCCGCTTAAAGATCCATTCGCCAAGAATTCGTAGACTAGAATCATCTGTGTTTCTTCATTACAATAGCCCATCAGAGAGACAAGATTCTTATGAGAGAGCTTGGATAGCAATTCAATCTCATTCCGAAATTCACGAAGACCCTGTCTTGATTGGGCATTGGCTACCTTGATGGCTACTTTTTCCCCATCATTCATTGTTCCTTCGTAGACCTTGCCAAAGCCACCTTCTCCAAGAAGCAGACACTCGTCAAAGTTGTTTGTTGCTTCACTGATTTCTTGTAAAGTGAAAAGCCTGCATGATCTGGTGATGGCTCTGGAGCTTGCCTGTGACCTGCATGTTTTCAAGTAATACGAAGTTACTGCAAATAGAACTAGGAAGGCTGTAGCACCGAAGATGGATCCAAGTATTACTGATAATTTCGCGAGAGCTCGTCCATCCAAGGTTCTGACTTCAGTGACGATCTTCATTATCTCCAGCCCGTTCATGGTTGCATTCGTACTATTTGCCGTTCTATCAGGAGCAACAGTTACTGTCAAGTTATTTCCTCTTGTGGAGACAACAAAATCCATGTGATGTCGCTCGTATATATAAGAGTAAGACTCTTGAGAGTAAAGGTCGACTCTTGTTGCATAAGCACCATCTATAAATAGAATGAAAATTGCATAATTTTCTAGGTTGCTTATGATATCCCAGAAGTGCACCCGAACAAAATAATTATTGTTTGGATTTACGGGGAAGACCCAGCTTAGATTGCGGCTTCTTGCATCTGCCATCGCTTTGGCTGTAGCATAGACCCATTTTGGCGCCGTGAGATGTGTAACTGATCTAGGATTGTCTTGTATAGCTTCAGGATCTACTGAAACATTCAGTGCTCGACTGTTGGAGGCCATATATTTTTCATCACTCTCCCAGTCCCGACCAAGGTCATCATTCCGAGTGGTGAGGGATTCATCACCCACATCCAACCGGTAAACTGTTTCAAGGGCAAATTTTGAAAGACTCAACGAATGAACTGAGGTATTATTGATTGCATAAATACCATGATCACCTGCTATAGAGACAACTTCAATTGCGTTAACAAACACTAATGAATTTGCAGAAGGGATGAATGTGAGAGCCAAGGTGGGGGATGTAATATCGATTGCATACTCCTTGATCAAGTTAGAACCACCATACTCCATGAAACTGAAATTATTGAGAAGCACAACTCCATCAGCGATGGCTGTTATTGAGGCAGAGGACATGTTCTGGTGAAATTCGGGCAAAGGGGAGAAGTAAAGGCGGATCCAGTGCTGGCCTAGCTGTTCGATTGTGAATATATACGAAGCGCGGCCCTGAAAGATTCTAGCTGACTGGTAGATCGATGCTGGAGAGCTAGAATCAGAGGTAACAGCAACAGATTTCTGGCTTTCCAATTCCAATTCATCATTATTCTCATAGACAGATTCACGAAAAAATTCCTGCCCTGAAAGGTTACGTTAACAGAAGAACCACAAGCGAGTAAGTAGTTATCAGCAGGTATGAACTGAGAAGATGATTGGTTACCCATGCTTAGAAGAAAAGCTAAAGCAAATGGCATCCATATGAGTAGCTCCAGCTTGGCCATATCTTCCCTTTTTATCCCCAGAATTTCTTGTTGCAGTATTATCACACCAGGATCAGTTGAAATCCAAATCCCGGACTCGAGTTACACACAACTTAAGCAACTGATGTTTTCAAGCATGCATGCTTGGTGTGTGATAGATGCTAAATGCGACACTAAAATCAACAGTGTCTTAAAACATGTAGTACTTAATGCGTTGATGTCATAATATATCAACTTTCCGCCAACGGCGTTGCCACTTAGTGGCATGGATGCTCCTCAATTCCAATTTAATATTTAATTTTTTTTTATAATTTTTATGAATTCACCATCTGTATTCTAAACAGTTTGAATTAAATATTAAAATTTTTTAGAATTTTTATAAATTTTTATTTTAGTAAATATAGTATTAAAAATAAAAATAAACATAATATTCAAACTGACACTTTAAAAGAATTAAGAAAAAATTATAACTTAAAAATTTTAAATTAAAATTATTTAAAGTACATCTGAATAATTGATTTATAAAAATTATAAAAATATTTATTATTAAATTATATCATGCATATTAAATTTGCATTGTTCAAACGACCCGATTGATGATAGTAATTTGGCCCATTAAGTGTGAGACATTTAGTAGCTACACTTTTGAAAAGACGGATAGACTTGGGGTCAACTTCCCTTAATCTGATTTCTGTGATTGTTAGCACTCAGCATGTCACAATCCAATTGCACAACATTTAACTTCTCATTTAAAAAAAAATGTCAGAAAAAATTATTTAAAAATTTGGATTTTAAAAAATATAACTTTTTAAGAATCAAATCAATTGTCAAGCTTGCAAGAATTTATTACAAAATTTTATTGAAATTACTGTCGTTTTTTTTTTAAAAAAAGTGATCATTTAGATCTTTTTATGGTAAGCTTTTAAAATATGAGAATTTATTAAAATCTAATATTAAATTTTACTTCAAAAAATTTTTTATAAAATTTTTATTGAAAATTATAGGGAGTCACGCAAATTATAAACAGTATGGTTTATCTTTATCTAATGCACATTGTGTCTCACTCTCATTTAATTTAAATCTTTTAATATTGACGTTGTTGCTCGAAATTCTCTATTGATATAAATAAGATGTAAAGTAAAATGAAATGAAAGGCTTTTGGGTGAAATATGTATTTTTATTTTTCATTAAAACAGCATAAAGAATAATATGTAGTTGTGCACAGATAAAAGGTACATGTTATTTGTGGACATGAGAAATCCATAAATCATATTCTTATGACATGTTCGTATGCAGGTGGAGGAGCAAGATTTCAGAACTTGGTCAATGAACTGGTTCAAATAGGAAACAAAGAATAAGTCTGATCCAAACTGGAAGAGAAAATGAGAAATTCAGTTAATAGTAACCATGACCGTCATGCAAGGCTAGGAATTTGAAGAAACATGAGAAGATAACTTGATGGCAAGGTACGTAACTTGCAAACAACAAGTTATTAGCATTCCCAATGCATATTTCTAGCTGTTGCTTCCATGACAGTGGAACAAAGTTTGTCCCGCAGAGATGGTCACTTAGTTACTTAAACGTATTCTTTTTTGTTGCTACACTAACTTTATAATTAAGCAATATAAAGTTAGTGTAGCAAGAACAAGTAAAGCTGCAGCACCCATGACAGATCCAACTATAACTGCTTATTATTTCATGGAAGTTCCTCCTTCCAAGGTTCTAACTTCATTGATGATCTTCATTATCTCCAGCCCGTTCACGGTTGCATTTCTGCTATCTGCCGCACTGTTAGGAGCAACACTTACTGTCAAATTGTTTGATCTGGCAGACTCCAAAAAAATTCGGTGAATATGGTCCAGACAAGCCACCAGCAGTTGAGTGGAGTTTGATTCTTCAAAAGCAACATCATTTAATTTATATTTAGGTTGAACGTTGTACTTTCTCATGAGTTTCTTATGATGTAGGGCATTAAAATACTCCCTTCATGTCAAAGTATTAAGACAACTTTAAAAGTATTTTATTATTTTAAAATATAAAATAATTTGATTAAAATAAAGTTTCATTAATAATACTTTTTCAATATTATCCTTTAAATAAAAAGAAAATCAAAATGAGTTTAGTGTAATGATTAAGTATGTAGATTTAAACAAAAAAGCATTTTTAAAATTTATATTTTATCTAAAAAAAAGATTTATAAAGTGTTATTATTGAACTTTATTGGTGTGAATATCGTATTTTGTCCGAGTTCTAATAAGTAAATAAGATAATATCCATAGTAAAATAAATAAAAAAATGAAAATAATAAGAATAAAAAAATATAATATTTTACAACAAGAATATATATATATATATATATATATAAGTTGGGTACAAAGATAATAAAAATATATTCAAGCTAGATCACAATATAATAATTGAAATAAACAGAATATAATATAATATGATATTATAATTTGAAGATTTTAAGATAACCTAATATCTAATATTAAGATTTAAAGATTTCAAAATAATATAATAACCAGAATATAATAATAGAAAAGATAACAATTAATATTCAATCTCTAAATAATAATAATAATAATAAAATATATAAAATATTAATATTGATTACGATAGGATCGAAATATTAGAAAAACCCTAAATGAATGGGTATATAAAGGAAAGCAAAGGTAGAGCATAGGGAGTTAGAGAGAGACTCAAGAAAAAATTGTGAGAAGAAAATAGCACGATAGAAAATAGTGGAATAAGAGATTTGATTGATAAAGGTAACTAGAAGTAAGCTCATCTCTCTTAAACTTTATAAATGCTTACACATCTTATTCTTCCATCGTCTATTTTCCTTAATTTATTTTTAAATGAAACTTTATCATTCACATAATTATTATTTGATTTGGCCTCTTGTCTTTCAATCTAAGATTTGAGTTTGGATCCTCTATTTGTCTTCTTGCTTTCTTCATATGCACGATCTCATAAGATTTGAATCTTAACTCCTTGGTTTAAAGTCCATTGCCCACGCCTACCAACGCATACCACTTTTTAAGCTTGATATGATGCTTGGCTAAGAACTTCTTTTATTTTTATAATGGCATTTGATTGTAATATATGGGAAAGCTTGGCATCATAATTGAATTGGGAAGTATATATCATGCGAGAATCATTTTAAGAAATTTTGAAAAAAGCAATTTCAAAACTTAGATCTCAAATCTCTATTTATTGATTTCTCACTATATAATTTTATCTAATTTGTTTGTTATGAGAGACTTTCAGAGTCCTCAGAAATTTTTAAATTAATTAATTTGGTATACATGTGGATAAATTATCAGCATGTGCATCTATAAAACTTATATCATTTTGATTGCTTGAGACTTTTAAAATCCTTACAAATTTTATAAATTAATTAATGTATCTTATACAATGATAAATTATTGTATGTACATTGTTTTAACATCATTAATTGTGTGAAACTATCTAAACCCTTGCAAATTTATAAATTAAATAACTTATCTTATGCAACGATAAATTATCACAAGTATATTTTAAAATATTTTATCTTTAAATAAAATAATTTTTTCTAAAATAAATAAATAAAATAAAATATTTTTTTCAAAGGTGAATGTATGAAATTCTCATAAATCTTATTAAAATATTTTTCTAAAATTATTTCTTAGAGTTTTGCCACAAATAAAGAAATAAAATATTTTCATGAATAAAAAAACACAAACCAACATTAAAACTATTTTATAAAAAATTAATAAATAACATTTTCTTTAAAAAAAATCTCAACCAAGAGGCACACATTTTTACCCTGAACTACGTGGACTTTGATCCATCAAAAGGGTTCGTAGGTCTTAGGGTTTTATCCTAAGTCAAGTCCAATTTATAAATAAATAAAATTTTTCCTTTTTAATGTTCTTATTTTTTTTATCTTATTTTTAAGGATAATTAATATTTTTAAAGCCATTTAAATTTATATAGTTAACTTAAAGTAATCATTCACATGAATAGGTGTTGTGGGGTGCCTAACACATTTTCCACACACAATTGACTTCCTTACCCTTTTCTCTATACATAGACTACATGTCAAAAATATTTTCAATTACCTTTTAAAAATTTGGTGGTAACTTCAAAATATTTATATTTTTATTCGATTTTCCTTCTTCGAAAATTTTGAATCGGGCGCAACAATTGGCACACATAATCTTATGTCAAATTGTTTTACAAGTTGGGATGGAAGTAATGTTATATATTTTCATAATTTTGTTTCTAATTCACCTTACAACCTTAAACATGAAATTTAAAATTACAAAAAAGGAAAATGGAGGATGAGAGTTCCAATTAAAATAAAAAGATTTTAAAACTACTTATTAAATTATATATCTAGCAATGTAACTATATATCTATATCCAAATATCTGTCTCTTATTACAGTTATCACACCACAATTTATTCCCATGCACTTACGGCAATAACCTGCAGGTTAGCAGTAAAGAAGCCATTGAACTGAGAGAAGGATTTCAGGCATCATCTCGTTCCTTCACATCCCTGATTTCATTTTCTGCAACCACATCAATGGCACAATCCGCAAAAACTTGCCGAATTGGCGAAGCCAACTCAATGTGGAGAGCGTCTTCAAGCTCACACAGTAAATATCCCATTGGTGGTCTGTTCTTGCGACTCTCCTCTAAGCACATCCAGGCCAACTCACACACCTTGTTCAGAGAATCCAAATTCACTTTTCCTATCAAATTTGGGTCTATAATCTCATGAAAGGTGCCCTTTTCTTGGCAGCTTGATGCCCATCTTGCCAAATTAATATGCTCTGTTGGACGAGTGCCATCTAAAGCAGACTTGCCACAGATAACTTCCATCAGAACCATTCCAAATGAGAACACATCTGATTTTTCTGTGAGAAATTTTGTTCTGAAATACTCAGGATCTAGATAACCGAAACTGCCCTTAACAAGGGTCGTTACATGGCTCTTATCAAGAGGTGGACCTTGTCTAGAGATTCCAAAATCAGCGACTTTTGGAACAAAAGTCTCATCCAAGAGAATATTTGCTGTCTTAACATCACGATGGATTGTACTTCGAGGAACCCCTGTGTGAAGGTAATGAAGGCCCTTTGCAGTGCCAATGCATATTTCTAGCCGTTGCTTCCATGAAAGAGGAACAAAGTTTGGCCCATAGAGATGGCTACTTAAAGATCCATTTGCCAAGAACTCATAGACCAGGATCATTTCTGAGTCTTCATTACAATAGCCCATTAGGAAGACAAGGTTGGGATGAGAGAGCTTGGATAGCAATTCAATCTCATTCTGAAATTCACGGAGACCCTGTCTTGACTCAGGATTGGCTACCTTGATGGCTACTTTTATCCCATTAGCCATCGTTCCTTTGTAGACCTTGCCAAAACCACCTTCTCCAAGAAGCAGGCACTTATCAAAGGTGTTCGTTGCTTCACTGATTTCTTGGAAAGTAAAAATCTTGCATGATATGGGGGTAGCTCTCGACCTTGCTTTCGACTTGTAAGCTGTGAAGTAACAAATAGTTAATCCAGTGAGAACTATGAAAGCTGCTGCTCCGGTACTACACCAAACTGTAATTGCTAATTTGACACTTCTTTGGGATGAGTTAGGAAGAACACTATCCACTTGAGTTGTCCCATGGAAGCTTCTAACTTCATTGATGATCTTCATTATCTCCAGCCCGTTCAAGGTTGCATTTCTGCTATTTGCCCCTGGATCTGGATCAACACTTACTGTCAAAATGTTTTCTTTGGTGGAGACCACAAAATCCATGTAATATGGTAAGCACAAGCCTCCAGTTGCAGGGTTAAGTTTGATTTTATAAGCAAGATCATTGATAAATAGATTGAAAATTGTAACATCTGGTGGGTTGCTTATGATATCACAGAAATGCCCCCGAACAAAATACCTGCAGTTTGGATTTACAGAGAAGACCCAGCTTAATTTGGATCTTGATACGTCCGCCATGGCTTTGGCTGTAGCATAGACCCATGCTGGTGCTTTGTCAGTTACAACTTTGGAATTATTATATACAGATGAATTATCAACTGAAGTATTCAGAGCAACACTTTTAGAGGAGAGGTATTTTTCATCACCTTCCCAGTTCCTGCCACTGTCATCGTTCCGAGTGTTGAGATATTCATTACCCATATCCAACCGGTAAATAGTTTCAAGGGTCGCTTCTGAAAAATCCTCCAAAGAAACTGATGTGATATTGATTGCATTAGCAAAGAGATCATCCGGTACAGAGACAACTTCAATTGCGTTAACAAACACGAAGGAGTTTTTAGAAGTGATGAATGTGAGAGACAAGGTGGAAGATGTAATTTTGATTGCATACTCTTTGAACAAGTAGGGACCACCATACTCCATAAAAGTGAAGTTATCGAGAAGCACAAGACTATCGGTGATTACTGTTATTGAGGCAGAGGACATATTCTGGTGAAAGGTGGGCATAGGGTAGAAGTAAAGGCGGATCCAGTGCCTACCTTCATGTCTAATTCTGAATATATATGAAGCGTTGCTCGAAAAGATTCTAGCTGATTGGTAGATTGGAGATGGAGCACCAGAATTAGAGGTAACAGCAACAGATTTCTGGCTTTTCAATTCCAATGCATGATTATTTTCATAGACAGATTCAGGGGAAAAAGTCCTGCCCTGAAAGGTTATGCTAACAGAAGAGCCACAAGCGAGTAAGTAGTTATCAACAGGTATGAATGAGGAAGATGATTGGTTACCCATGCTTAGAAGAAAAGCCAAAGCAAATGACGGCCACATGAAAATTCCCAGCATGCCCATGTCTGCTGTTTTATTCCTAGAATTCGGTTGCAACGATACTTACACTAAGATGGATTGAAATCCAAATCCTAGACTTTGAGTTACATGCAACTCAAGGAATTGATGTTTCCTAGCATGTAATGCTTGGTTTGTGTGTCATGCTCATATATACAATTGCTCTGTTATCAGGGTCTCGAAAGATGATGTATTTTTATTGTATAGTTTTCTTGATATGAATTTTCCTGGAAGGATTCATGTTCAAATCAGTTCACTTTGACTCACTGAAATGAATCGATTTTTTATTTTCATTGGCTTGACAGGATATAATTCATAGCGACAGAGAACTTTGTAAAAAGTTGGTCAAAGCAAATATCTAGAATCTGCTCAGTCCGTCTTACGGGGATTCATGGATGAAAATTTTAAATTTTTAGGACGTCTCTTACGCTGTGTGAGTGATTTTCTTTCGACAAAATTTAGTGGGAATTGATTAGCTGATGATTATCAAAATTTTCTATAAAAGTGTGAGAAATGAATTTGTTAAATATCGTAGTAGATGTGGTTGTTATTTATATATTAAGCACATATAAGTTGTATATAATTTTTGTTGATCTTAAATTTGATGCAAGTATAGTTTGGGATGTAAGATTTAATATGCACGACGATCCTTTGATATATCACAAAGCCAATTTAACAATTCGGTTCTGTGTCCCCTCTCTTTTTCTTTATTATATTTTTCTTATTATTTTTACATTACTATTATCTTTTTTTTCGTTTGTCACGTGTATTTTTTTATTTGAAACAATACTATTTGAAGTACTGTAAAACATTAAATGTGAACACCTCTTTTAATAAAATTTGATCATTGATTTGTTATGTTGTGATGGACTATTATCTTTTTTTAATATATGGTTATTCACATTTAAGTATTGTCAAACCCAATTAAAAATAGTTTTTTCAAAAATATTTTTTTTTTATTTTTCTACATTTACATAAATTTAAACTTCAGCATTAATGTTTAAGTGGTGACTATTATCTCTTTCCTTCCAACTTCCATCAGATTCACCTTAAATGAAAATTTTCACGAGTCTATTATTTATTTTTTGAAAACTGAAAATTCCAATAATCTTAATCAAATTTGAACAATTCCTGTGTGTATCAATTATGTCCCGATTGAAATTAAAAAATAATAATCAAATGAGTTGAGTGCCCCTTTCCCTAAAAAATAATGTTCAATTTAATTTGTATAGTACTCTTTTGTCAGAAAAATCATTTTTTTTTAAATTTGTATGGTATTTGAAATGGACTTTGTACAGTTTTCTTTTTTTTTTTTTTCAGGGTGACGAGGCGGTGTGTATAATAATAATGATTCAAGTGGAGTGACAATAGCTGGAATTGAATGTATATCATGACGACTTTGCCTGGAAGAGGACGAAAATTATTAAGCTTAGTCGGTGAGTAATTAAATTTTCAAGAAATGGAATGCGGAAATTTTCCTAGGTCTCCTCTCAAATTATTTGTCAAAAACGATAGTATCTCGTGCATTTGAAAAATGGAGCTGCACTTTTGATTTTGATATATCACATATTATTTTATTAATATTCAGTGGCAGGTTTACATATTATTGAGGGTGGGCAATTGCCCCTCTTAAATTGAGAAAATTACAAAGAGAGATGGGGGTTTTAAAAATTTGCCCCCATTGTCTCTATGATTTTAAACCCATTAAATTCAAACTAAAATATATTTCAGTTTAAAAATATTTAAGTTTTTATATTTCATTTAAGCAATTTTAATTTTTAATTTATTATATTTAAATTTAGATTACTTTTATAAGAATATAATTTTAATTTTTTTAATATTTTACAAATCTAAAGTCAAACTAAATAATAAATAACCTTAATAAAAATGAAATTTGAAATTTTAAAACATACAAAAACTAAAAGAAGATCAAAAGATAGGAAGATGGAGAAATCTTTTGCTAGAAAATAGAGTTTGAGATGAGAGACAGAGTGAATGGTGTGAGAATGTGAGGTTAAGTATGAGAAAATGATTAAAACTAGCAATAATATTGTCTGTTGCCACAATAACTATAGAAAGAGCATTTTTTTTCTAAATTTACGAAAAATCAATTGCATAATAAATGGAAAACCTATGATTTAATAGCATTGACAATGAACTAATTATTTAACAGTTTCAAAACATGAAGCCATATAGAGAAAACTTGTAAAGTATGTAAATATTTATTTTATAGATTAAAATTTTTTAATTTTTTTACATTTTATATAATTTATGATCCCACTGACTCAAGGTCTTGTGTCCACCACTGTTAATAATGTTGATGGAAAGTTTGACGATCAAGCATAGCAATAAGAAATCTCCTAGAAGAATTTTATATTATCTTATTTGAATGTGACAAACGACTCGTTTAAACCTGTCTCCATGTTCTTATAATTTTTCTTTAATTTTGAATTAAGTCCTTATAATTTATTTTATTTGATAAAATTTAGATACTTAACTTTATATATTGATATATTTTTATTCAATCAAATCAAAATAAGTGAATTTTAATATATTAATAATATTAATAAAAATAGTTTATTATGAAATAAATAGTCTATAAAATATCTACATATTTTAGTTTAATGGAAAATAAGCAACTTAAATATATATATATATATATATAAGACTAATTAAGTATATATAAATTTTTTCCTTTACTTAATATATTTTTACCTAATCATATCAAAACAAGTGCATTTTAATATGTCAATAATATTAAAAATAAAAATTTATTATAAAATAAATAATTTATAAAAGATTCATATATCTTGAACTAATTAGAAATATTTTATGTTCCGTTTGGTTACTAAAAAAGAATAAATTAAAAAAATAAAAGTAAAAATAAAATGATCAAAAGAGATAGGTAAACCATATTCATAAGAAATAAAGATAATTTAATTCATGAGGTTGAGACTTGAGAGTCATAATCTTTAATATTTTTGGAGAGTGTGATGATTTTTATATTTGTGATATATAGTATTGAGTTTTATCATATTTATCATAAGATAAAAGAATAATTTAATTTATTTTAATTTTAATTTCTTTTTCTTCACTGCTTTATATTCTCATCCTTTTTAACGAGCAAACACAAGTTTTTTTCTTTACCTTTTAAGGTGTGATTATTTGTTCCCTGCGAACAACTCTTCTGACACATAATAAAAAATTAAGCTCATGACATAATCAAATTAATTTTCCTTCTCAAATGTTTTTAAATTTTGATTGATATGATAATGGTTGTCTTTTTTTTTTTAGAGAAATTATTTATAGGTTCTGTAGAGAAAATTTATTTATAAATAAGTCTTATAAAATTTAAAAATCACAGTCAGGTTCCTTGATATTTGAGTGGAATTTTAAATTAAGCTATAAAGATAATAATACTCTTATTAAAATATATCAATTAAATAATTAATTTACAATTATAATTTTAACATTTTACAACTATAATTTTACATATTCAATAGTTACACAAAAATGTATTACTAATAAAGTTTAACATTAATTATTTACAACTATTTCATCAGTAATTTATAACTATAACTTTAATTTTTTAAAACTATAACTTTATATATCGAATAATTAAACTAATCAATTTAACTATTAAATGTGTGAAGTTATAGTTATAAAAAATTAAAATTATAGTTATAAATTACTGATAAAATAGTTGTAAATTATTTAATTGATGTAATGTATATATATTTAATAAGGTCATCATCATCTTTTTCTCTCAATTTTAAATTACACTTAAGTTTCAAGAGACCTAATTGTAATTTTTAAATTTTATGAGATTTATTTATAAATAAGTTTGTTAAGACTTATAAATAATGTTTTCTTTTTTTGCTGTGTACTATCATAGATTGACAATAACATTTATTATGAAATAAATGAAATAAAAATCTTATAAAAAAAGATTGACAATGACATTAATTTACATTAAATGCAAGATGTAAAATATAGAGCACAATATTTAAAATCTGTCCATGATTTCTCGTACATGGTTGTGTGTAGTCCATCAAGGAAGAGTGAGATAAAAAAAAAAAAAATGAAACTCATGCGTTGTATCTAATTGTCATTTTTTTTTTCTTTATCTTTCTTCCTCAATTCACCATGAAGTATTTGCAGTGAATATTAGGATGTTTTTCAATAAAAAATTTCTATTTACACTAAACAGGCAAACAAAATAAATAAATAAAAGGTTCTAAGATCTTGAAGAGGCGCACATGGTGTGCAAAAGATCGGCAGCATGACATGCTTCACGCTTTGAAAAACATAAATTCAGATTGTAAAAGAAGATGGAATATGATTATTAGACTAAAATTGCTTGTTATCAAATCCTTAATAAAAATATACCCAAGTTAATACTCTTTCTTCATTTCAACATTTCATAGTTGGGATCTTTAAGCAATGTTTCTGTACATAAAATCATATTGATGAAGAATTTAAATACAGTAAAGATCTGCAATATCATTTGCATTGAATGCGTATAATACAATATTTAAATTTTGTCCGCCTTTTTTTCTATAATATCAATTAATAGTTTGTATGACTACTCCTTTTTCTTTCTTTCCTTATCCATAAAAGGGGCAAAGCCTAGAATATTTCATTAACGAGTAGATAAAACGAGGGGAAGAAATCCCCACAATGATGATTAGATCACTTGAAATGGTGCTTGATTTTTTTCAAACGAGATAAAAGAATTTAAATTTTATAGATAAAAAATTATTTTAAAAAATCTACTTTCAATTAAACCCAACAATATTTGCATATAGATGAATAGTATAACTGTATGAAAAGGAAAAACAAAATTTATAAAGTACTAGCTATTCTTGGATTTAGTTTTAAAAGTTAGTCTATCATAATGTGATGAATCAACGTTCAAATATTTAAGAAGAGATGTATTCATATTTAAGGTCTGATTGTATTTTGAATGTAATTATTTTCAATAGAAGAACACATGTACATAATAAAAAACCTTCTAAGGTTAGTTAAACTACAGGTATAATTGAAAAATGATAATTAATATTATCTTGAAATTTTAAAATAACAAATAAAAATTCAAAAATGACAATGACAATTAGGGAAAAAAGCAGGTTTTAAAATCTCCACAACTCATTTTAGAGAAAATGCTAGGACTTTTTTTTCCAATATAAGTTTCTAGAGATGACAGCCATACAGAAAGGTGTGATGAAACTGGACACACTTTATTCTCACGTATGAAATATTTGAAGATATATATTATTTGCTGCCAGGAAAAAGGATATTGTTTAGCCCAACCAAAAACCAAAAAAAAAAAAAAAAGATTAAGGGCTTCAATAGCATATGCCGGGCAACAGATTGGCCTCATGGTCATGGCATGCTTCACCCTATGAGAAATATAGAAGATCGCAAAAGATGATATAATATGATTATTAATTTATTAGATCAAAGAGCTTGTTATGAAATTTTTAATATAATTATACGTGGATTAGCATTCTTTTTCCAGTACAATATTTCATAATTGGATCTTCTAGTATTATTTCTATAAGTAAAATCTTATAGAAGAATTCAATAATCAGTAACAACTTGAAAATTCATACAATCTATAACAGTGCCAAACAGGGAATGGAAAAAATATTGATCAACACATTAACATAAAGTGATAAAACTACACTGCTTCTTTGGGAAGCAACATTGCACCCAAACAATGAATCTGGGATTGTCATGTTTACAATCTTCACTTTCAAAAAATCCCATATTGAATCATTCAAAGCATATTTGCCTCCATCTCTAATGAAGCGTTTACCATTTCTCAAAGGAACCAAAAGTCAACTATAATCTCAAATGTGAGTAATTAAATAATTAAACTTATTGACCAAGTTACTAATAAGATTCCGTTAATAAAGCATTCAAGATCCATCCCTCCCACTCACATGAAATTGAAGTATAGAATATAGAGAAAACAATAGAAAAATGACATGTTGCAGAGTTCTATATGTGCATATATAAGCGGAGGCCACCTTAACTTTGCTTGCATCTCAGAGAGAGAGAGAGGAAATTGAAGCCAATGGACATGTTTAGCAGAAGAGGTTCAACATGTGTGGTGCTAATAATATTGGTGGCTGCATTGTGTGTGATGCAGATCAATGCAGCTGATACAAGGACTTGCACCAACAGAAGGAGCCCTTGCTTTTTGAGGAGAATAAAATGCCCAGAGGAGTGCCCCTCAGCCTCACCCTCTGATCCTAACGCTAAAGTCTGCTATATTGACTGTGATTCTCCAATATGCAAGGCTCAATGCAAAAGTAAGCTGGGCTATAGCCCTCAAGTTTTGAATTTTTTAAGCTTTATAGTTGGTATCTTAGTCTTTAATGTCCTCATCTCTAATGCACTTTGTGATGTGTCACTTTCTCAATTTCTTTTATCTTTTTTTTTCCTTTTAATTATTAGCTTGCTGATAAAATGATTCTAGTACCTTACAGTCATGAAAGGCAGCTACACTGTTTCATGACTGCAAGTTTCTCATTTTATCTACAAAACAATGATTAAAAAAAAATTATAGGCTGATTGGTCCAATTGGTAAGGCACAACAACGTTGATAGTTGATCTTCCACTCGAAAGGGTCTGTTTTAACTCAATTTGGATTAGTATAGCCCTTGTTAAAGTTCCCTCAATTCAACATGGAGCCATCTTATAGGATACTCTGTGAGGAAAAAATGATCAACCGAAGAAAAGGGGCAAAAATAAATTAGAAAAGCATGACAATACAAGAAATATTAAAAAGTCTACATTGTTTAGTATATATATTTTCAACCCTCCCAAAATCTATGCAAACTTTATTCTAATATATTTTTCAATGTCAAGCGTTCCTTGTAATTAAATTCAGGCCCCAACCTTAGGTTTTGTATTTAAAAAGAGTAATAAATAAAGTATGGTATAGTTAAAAAAAATCACAAAAACTGCCTCATATTCTATATTTTGAATCAAATAAGATTTAATATGCTTTATATTCTAGTTTGGGGGAGCACATATTTTTTAAATGCGGGACCTGTAATTAAATTAAAGCTCCAACCCTGCATTTTGTATCCATTTATGATTTAACATGTGGCTTGAGGAACTTTGTAAATGTAGGGTGCAAATGAGTAATTCTCTTGTTATGGATTGTAAGTGAGGAGTTTTTCTCATGAAAATTTTTGAAACAGGACGCAAACCAAACTGCAATGGTCGTGGATCCGCATGTTTAGACCCTCGTTTTGTTGGCGCGGATGGGATTGTGTTCTACTTCCATGGAAGGAGGAATGAGCATTTCACCTTAGTATCAGACACCAACTTGCAAATCAATGCCCATTTCATCGGTCTTCGGCCAGCTGGGAGGTCTAGAGACTACACTTGGATCCAAGCACTGGGAATCCTCTTTGACTCTCATAAATTCTCCATTGAAGCCACCCCAGCAGCAACTTGGGATGATGAAGTTGACCATTTAAAGCTCTCTTACAATAGAGAAGAAATTATCATCCCAAAAAGCCACTTCTTTGCTTGGGAATCCCCAGAAAACAAGGTTAGAGTGGAGAGAACTTCAAGCAAGAACAGTGTCATGATTACTATTTCAGAAGTTGTAGAGATATCTGTGAATGTTGTGCCTGTGACTGAGGAAGATAGTAGAATCCATAACTATCAAATTCCTGAAGACGATTGCTTTGCTCACCTGGAGGTGCAATTCAAGTTCTATGGTTTATCACCTAAAGTTGAAGGGGTTCTTGGGAGGACTTACCAGCCGGATTTCAAAAATCCAGTGAAGCCCGGCGTGGCAATGCCAGTGGTTGGAGGGGAGGACAAGTATAGAACAACTTCACTTCTTTCTACAGATTGTGGAATGTGTTTGTTCTCTCCTGCTCAAGCTTTTCCACAAAAGAAAGAAGAGTTAGTAATGGAATATGGGATGTTAGATTGCACAAGTGCTGCAAACAGTGGGAATGGTATAGTTTGCAGAAGATAAACAAATCAGGAAATCACCATTGTGATTCTAGAATAATCATATGTTTGATTTATTTAAGAGAATGTTTGTCCGTGTTAAACTTCATGGTTTGAGTAAAAGGTGTGTGTAACCTTTTGTTTTACCTCATTAATGATTGATAAAATGATTCCAAAAAAGGTGTAATAAAAGTTATCTCATTTCTTAATATAAAAGATCATATTCATGTTATATTTGCTTTGCATTTACATATTTAGTCTGAAGACCGTCTAGTCAAAGAGAATCCCATCTCTAAGTGTCACATAAAGTTCAAGGTTATCTTATTTCAAGAGATACTTGTGGGCTCCTTTTCTCAAACTTTTTTCTAAAGAAAAATAAAGTAAGGTTGGAAAAGATCATACAGTTTGTATATATAGTACATATGCACTATATATTTTTACTTTTGTATGTCTTTTTTAGCTTTTTATTTTGATATGTATATAAACAAAAAAAATATTAGTCCTCACCCCTCTCATACTCCTGCTGCCCCTGGCTGTGCTGCATAAACCTAGCTGCCTTGTGTGTCTTGGGTAGGTGATAATAATGAGTTTATCAGAGTTGCATCAGAATTTAAGACATGAAGGTGTATTTTTTTTGCCCAAATGAGATTGTTTAAACTCTTCTATTTTGATGTAGAAAAGAGAAAATGGATTATATGAAGATATGATTTATTTCCTCTCACAATTTTTCACTTTCATATGACAAGTTTCTAGCCTTCACAGTCTTGTACATAGGAAATCTGCAACTGTAGTTAGAGTTGAAAAGCTTCTCAAATATGATAGGGAAAAGGTAACAGAAAAAATTCAAACAAAGCTAAATACCAAAAATCAAAATTGAGAAGAAGACCCTTACTTTCTATATTGATTTCATAAAGAAAGAACTTACAAGGTCCATATATATTACAATGTGTAAGAACAAGGGCAGTTTAACTCCTTGGATTTATATGAACAAAACATCAGAATATTAACGATACCTTATAGGCTTACAAGCAATTTCTAACAGGCTCATTTCCACCCATCACTTTACTATATTACAAGAATTGCTTATGGGCCAAAAAAATGGATTAAAAACATAGAGAGAAATGATGATAAACCGCCATTCATCAATCAGGAACTTTTCAAATTGTTCAAAAACCAAAAAGGCCACTGTACTTGATGGCCCAAGGATAGAATTAATCATGGATACACAAGATTTCATCTTCCTCGAGGATTTACCAATTGTGAGAACACTGCACTTGTGGCGGCATCTTCTGCATCATCATCTGTTGTAGAGTTGCCCACATCAACCATACTTACACTGTTATCAAAAGGCTTAAGTGTAGTCAACTGAATTCCAATAATATGATTGGTACTGTTATCTTCAGGTTCTATGAGTGCTGAAGACGTCTCTTGAAGCTGCAAAGCATATTCAAGATTCCACAAGACATCTCCCATGGATGGCCTATCCACACCGTGCTCGGCCAAGCATTTCTCAGCTGTCTCTCCGAATTTCTTTAGTGAAGCAGGATTCACCTTCCCCACAAGATTTTGATCCATGATTTGATCAAGCATCCCCTTTTTCTGCCAGGTCATTGCCCACTCAGCTATGTTAACCTGCTCCCTAGGAAGAACAGGATTCAAAGCTGGTCTTGTGCATAACACTTCCATTAGAACAACTCCAAATGAATAGACATCTGATTTCTCTGTGAGTTGTTGCCTTCTGAAGTATTCAGGATCAAGATAACCAAAACTACCTTTCACTGCAGTGCTCACATGGGTCTGATCCAGAGCAGGACCAGTTTTTGAGAGGCCAAAGTCAGCAACTTTGGCAACAAAATTGTCATCCAAGAGGATGTTTGTTGTCTTTACATCTCTGTGAATTATGCTTTGAGCTGCACCAGTGTGAAGATAATGGAGTCCCCTAGCTGCTCCTATGCAAATTTCGAGCCGTTGCTTCCATGATAGAGGCGGTAGGTCTGCTCCATACAAATGGCTTCTAAGAGGTCCATTAGCCATGTATTCATACACAAGAATCATTTCTGACCTCTCATCACAATGGCCAATGAGAGACACGAGATGACGGTGGCGAAGCTTGGACAACATGTCGATTTCAGTTCTGAATTCAGCAATGCCTTGTTCTGATCTAGGGTTGCCTCTTTTGACAGCTACATTGGTGCCATCATCAAGCGTTCCTTTGTAAACCCTCCCAAAACCACCAACCCCAAGAAGCAGCTTCTCATCAAATTTGTTGGTTGCATCCAGGATTTCTTGAAAACTAAAGAAACGCCCAAGATTTGTCGAAGCTAAAGAAATGTAACTTGCAGTTCCACTCTTTTGTGATATTGTTGACTTTGTCATGGTTTGAGAGTTTCCATATAAGGGTAAAGGCAGCCATGAATTACCTTGTTGAGTGGATTTTGAAGTGCGTCTCACCAAGCAACAATAGTAACACAAACCAACCAATGCTATTGCAGCTATTGCTCCAACAGCAGAACCAACTATTATTCCTATCTCGTTCGCCTTTGAAGATGAACTGGGAAGAAGATTCTCAACTGAAGAAAGCCCATCCAAGCTCTTCAATGCATTGCTAATTTTCATTATCTCCAGCCCATTCATGGTGGCATTTGTGATGTCTGCCATTGAATCTGGACCCACACTTACACTCAAAGTGTTTGAATCTGTTGAGGCATTAGAAACGAAGTCCTTGAAGTAAGGCACTGCCAAGTTACCAGTTATAGATGAAAGGTCAAAACTTCCAAGAGCTATGTCAAAATTAATGAACATATCAAACACTAAACTATTGAGGGATATGCTCATAATATCACAAAAGTGTGCCCGAATGAAATAAGAGAAGTTTGGATCCACTGGGAAGACCCAAGTAATGTTGAAACTATTTTGAGCCACATTTGCATCACCCATCGTTTCTGTTGTGGCATAAACCATATTTGGGGCTGTCTCAGGTGAAACACTTGCTGGATACTTGATGATCGCAGGGCTAACTGAAACATTAAGGACAGAACTATTCACATGAAGGTATTTCAGATCATTCTCCCAAGTCCTTCCAAGGGTGTCATTTTGGGCAGTAAGCAGAGGACCCCCCATATTCAACCGGTACACAGTTTCAAAGGCAAGTTCAGAAAGGCCGCTGAATGGGGCTGATGGGTTTAAAGCCAGTGCCTGATCAACAAACAAATCATTTGGCATTGATACAACTTCAATACCATTGACAAAAACCAGTGAACCATTAGAAGGAATGAGGGTGAGAGTCAAGGTATCAGATGTAACATTGATTGCATACTCCTTGAACATATAAGAACCGTTGTAGTTCTTAAAGGTGAAGTTATTCAAGAGAACAAATTCATCACTAACCACAGTTAAAGAAGCAGAAGTCAAGTCATGGCTAGGGTTTTTAACAGGAAAGAAGTACAGGCGGACCCAGTGACGGCCTTGTTTCTGAATTTCAAAGTTGTAAGAAGATTTCTCGGTGAATATCCGAGCTGACTGGTATATAGGGAATGGGACACGAGAACTAGAATTAGCAACAGCAATAGAATTCCCAGTTTCCAATACTAATGAAGAGTGCTGTGAATCAGGAATAAAAGTACGAGCTTGGAAAGTGATATTTTGAGATGAACCACAAGCAATCAGATAATTATCAGGAGGGGTGTATGATGCAAATGACCCATCCACCAAGAACAAAAACACTACCAAAACAAAAAGATCCCACTTCACAATGTTCACCTTCATCATCTTAACTTCCAGATCTTCGCCAATCCATAAACGGGTTTAAACGAATCAGCCGGGAAATCACAGAGACCTCAGAATTACGTGAACATTGAGCAAAACGCTGCAAATCCTATTCACAAACAGTTGGTGGGTAACATTCACAAAACCTGCAGCAATACCGGATCTAATCAACTTAATGCCCAGAAGAAGACATTTCTTCTACAAGTATGTGACAAAAACACAATGATCTTAAATTAAACATCACAAGACAATACAATACAAAAACACGAGCTCTTCTCAGCTATAACTTCAGATCCTATTTGCTAAAGTTTTCGGACGTAAACAGTCTGGAACTAAATAGGAGTTCTTACCTCATGGAAGGAGCAACATGGCGTATAATGCGATGCCAGGTGAAGAGACATGATAGAGACGAGATAGAGTTGAAGCTAGAAAGAAGAATTACATGAATCTCATTGGTGAATGGAAGCCCATTATGAAGTTGAGCTTTTAGTGTGGACACAAACACCAGCTTCCAGGTTGTTTATTAGGCTGTCAACAACGGAGAGGAAGAAAACAGAGGACCCCACAGAAAAGAAAAAGGATAAGAAACTTCGAAATCTCACTTGCTAGCTGCTACACCTCCTCCATTATAAGAGGGAAAAATCAGAATCTGAGAATCCAGCTGTGCCCTCAAGTTATTGCGCTGTGATTTTTAAAAATTTTGAGAATCTTTGAAAAAGAATAATTTAGTTCATATAAAATCATAAAACTCTGCAACTAGTAGAGTTATTATTATCATCTATCAGCCATGAAAGAAGGTAGTATTTAATGGAGAGGTATACCAACCGGAGCTTGTTGTTGTTTGTAATATAAAATTTTTGAGTTTTTGAAATCGTAGAAAAGGGTTCGAAGAACATGAGGGTGTGCTGGGATGGAGGATCTCTGGGACCCGCTTTAACGCGGCTTCAAAGATACAGAAGGGACAAGAAGGACAGAGTTGACGGCGCTCATTGACGTAGTTGGAAGCAATTCATGTATCAGTTTTTTAAAAATTCGTAAGTTTGAAGATTTGTACATGAATTGGGTGAAGAAGACTAGAAAATGGAAGAGTATAGTTGAAAAAACTAGAAAGAACTGTGAGAAATAGCGGTTTAAGACGTTAATGTGAATGAGACAGTGACTTTGAGGCCAAAAGGAAAAAGAGACGTTAATTGGGGGAAGAGAGAGAGAGAGAGAGAGAGAGAGAGACTGATAAGAATAAGAAGCGCCGAATAGAAGCACATGCCGTCTCACTGTCTCGCACCCAACGTCTCTATAGTATCGCTGTCTCCTCTGTCTTCTTCCGCCTCCCAACATTTTTATTTTTTAAGATAAATGATGTGAACTTATGATCACATCTAAATTGGTGGAAATGTGATAGACAACAAAGCCGATTGGGTTGTGAGATTCTGATAAAAAATTAAGAACGTTACCACCAATTTGAGTTGAAATTATAGGTATAATTAAATTTTTTGAGCTCCACTTGTTGAAGAGATTAAAGCAAATTGAAGTTTACTCTGATTTTGTAGAAATCATAAATTTAATCATTAGAAGCTGTAATGATAATCATCCTTTCCATGATATCATTTTTCACGCTATTAGTATTTTAAATAGGAATTGGTTTGTTATTATTAATTTTATTTATAGGGAATGTTATTAGCTTTGCTCATAGACTAGCTAGGTCAGCTCATTTTACAGAGGTTCTTTTTGTATATTTGATCATCTATCATCTTAGTTAGTTGAGGGGATAGATGATGATTGACTTCTTGGCTTTCTTTATGTAGTTTTATTTGTATTGGTTTGTTTTATTTCTCTTGGAATGAATTTTATTTTATCCAAAAAAAATTATAAAATTGTTATCACAAAAAAAACCATCAATATATCAGTGTATACTAATAAGGGAGATAATTTATCAATGTCGGTTTATCCCACATGTAACATTCATGCAGATATATATCAATCTGAAAAGTGACTCGTCACTTCGATTTCATCTAATGAAAAAAAAAAAAATACATGTCTAATTATCATTAAATTTTAAAAATTATAATTATACTTTCAAAATGTATTACTAAATTTTAGAAAATTCTTATTATCAATAAATCATGAATATGTTATTGTTATTGTTCTGATCGAGAATATGTTATTGTTCTTACTATGCGTCTGTAGTTTTTTATTTTATGTGCGCGCGCATGTATATGAGTATACCTCCGTAATAGCTTATGGAAAGAGTTGATTTCAAATAAAAGACGATGGCATCATGTAATATAGGTAGCTGACACTATTTAGTAGGCTAAGTTTTTTCTTGTTGTTGTTGAATATTTATTATAATCTTAATTTAATAAAAAAATGTTTTATATTTTTTATTATTTTTTAATCAATTTGCTAGTAAATAAGGATTTGACTTATGATTCAAAAAGTGATGAAATCAAATTTTACTATTATATGAATAAGTAATTTGCAAACACTGTAAGAATTATTTGAATTTAAAGACATATTTTAACCTGATGAGTTTGGAATCCCATTCAACTAAATTTTTCGGATCAAGTATCTTTTTTTTTTTCCCCGTGTTCCTTTTTAGTATATATTATAGTACATAAGTTTGAATAAGATAAACAACGTGTTTGATGGGCCATAAAAGAATAGGGCCTAGCCCATGAACGAACAAGCGAACCAATATTGATAAACATGAGATCTATCCAATATTGATTTAAAGCCGATAAGTTTTTTCGGCTTATTGTGTTGCCACGAATTTGCTGAAAAAGATATTGGCAAAGTCTGATAAGTTTCGTCCGTTTATCAGTGCGTCATTCTTCTATCACCCTCGCATGATTATTGATTATGATTACAATTATAATTAATGATTAGTTATCATGACGTCAATGATTGGTGGCTATGCGTGCCACTAATGAAACCAATACATTGATCATCTTGATTTAAAGTTTTCCATTACATTTACAGTTCAATCAAACATTTTTATACATAAAAAGAAATAGAATGCATGGATTGAGCTATAATGTTAAATAGTATTTCCTCTTTCATGAATTATAAAACTTTGAGATAAAATTTTATATATTAATAAATTTTATTAAATATATTTAACAATCTTATTTTTTTTAAATAAAAATATAAACTTTTAAAAAATATCTATCATTTAATATATTAAAAAGAGAAGAGATAAAAATTAATTATAGAGAGAAAAAGGATAATATTAAAATTAGTGCATTTAATAAAATATTAATTTATTTAAAATATTTTATATTTTAAGATAAAAAATTCTTTTAAAGGTGTCCTATAATTTAAAATGGAGGGAGTAATATTTAAAGGCAACGACTTCAGACCAGAAAAAACAGAGGCAAGCACTAACTTATTTATGTTATGATTAGAATTATCCGCAGAGACAAGTGCATTAAATATTTCTGAAATATAGACCAGAGAGTGAATGATATAAATGTTAAATGAACTATATTACACATAAAATTCCAATTTTAATTTTCGTATGCTTGTTTTAGAGCTGTTTAAAAGATATGTCAATGCCAATTAAAATATCCAGTGCTTATTTCCGGCGAGTAGAATTCTAAGTTTAGTGGTGAATATAGGGCCTAGAGGCATATCATGACTCTGGTGAATTTTTCAAACCCACCTCAGCTAAAATTTTTCTCACGAAAAATAATTATCATTAAGAAAGCTCTACATCCGTATTATCTGAATTGACTCGACTCAAATTATTATCCACCTCCCAATATAACTTAGTTTCATAGATTGAATGATATTGTTTAACGAAAGTTGTTACAATGAACTTTTACGGGAAATATTAAATTTATTTGTCTTCTCAACGCATTAGTATCCAGCCGCTCCATCATGATGAGCTCTTTTTGGATTTTTTTTTTTTTTCTTTTCATGCTGCACTTGTCTTCCACTTGGATCACAGTTAAAAATAGGACAGAAATTATATATATAATGCACCTGTCATTGTAAAACACTTCTAATCATATTTTGCATACAAATTAAATTAATTATTTTTTATTTTATTAAAAAAACACGTCTTTTTCTTTTTGCTTTTAACCAAAGGCAGACATGTATTGTAGGAGGAACTTGGGAGGGACCTTCCCACAGGTCACTGGCACCCCTCCAACGGAGGGAAGGAGAGAGGGAGGGCGATATATTGAGGGATAGAAGAGAGAATCATGGGATAGTAAGAAAGAAGAGAGAGTGCAATAGATGGGAGAAGTGGAGATTTAGAAATAATTTTTTATTGATTTATCTCTTATACATTTTTTAGTACCAATTAATATGTTGAAAATACAAATTTTTAATTAATTATACACTTTTTTCTTCCCAATTTACATGACACTTTTCAGAGATATCCAATCTCAAAATATAAGATATTTTGATATAATAAAAGTTTTATTAACCATGTTTTTTTAATATTATTTTTTTAATTATATTCTCTTTCTTTAGTATTCTTTCACAAATAGAATATTAAATAAAAAATATTTTTTAAAATTTTTATTTTTATTTTAAAAAAGTAAGATTGTAAAATATTTTTAATAAATTTTATTAATATATATAATTTTAAAAAAAATGTTTTATGAATTGGGACAAAAGTAATATAATATTCCTTCCAATCCCTATCATATAACGCCTTTTAAAAGGTTTTTTTGTTGTTCTTAATATAATACATTTAATGAGATATTAATATATATTTTTTTAGTATCACTTATACTTAAGATGATTACTTATTATAAAGAATGTAATGCAGATTTAATATTTTCATTCAAATATGAATAAAATTGTAAGTTTATTATATTTTACACAAAGCTAATAATTTAACTGCATATCTTTAATTTTGGTGAGATTCGATGTGCATTATAATAAAGACCGGTGATATGAATTAATTTTTTAAAAAAATTGGCCTCCCAATTTTTTGAGGCTGGTTCTGCCACTGTTTTAAACCTTTTTTATTACAAAAATTGAGAAGAAGTATTTTGTTTGATTATATTTATCATGTCTACATTAACAAATATAAGAGTAAATTTTTTAAAAAAATTGAAAATGTACTGAATGTCATATATTTTGGATTAAACTCAGAAAAAAAAAAGATCTCTCAGTTTAGAGGGGAGGGAGAATATTTCTTGAACAAGTAGATGAAGGAAATATTAAAACTTACTAACATGTCAAAATTAGCCTTCTCTTTTTTATATAGGTCCTCAATTAAATGCTCCTTGGAATGTTGATCATATATTCATAAAGTAATAATTTTAATTCACTATAAGGCATTTTAGGAAAAACTCGTTAATATAAAATTTGAAACTTACAAATAGGCAGCGAGAAATTGCTCATGAGATCAAGAATGGTTTTAAGAAGAGATTAATTTAGATGATGATGATGATTAAATGATTAATCATTGGTTTTGAAAACAGAGATGAAAGCGACATAACATGGTAAGCAGGATGCATGACTGACAGCCGTGCGCTGCAATTTGGCTCCCAAAGCCACGTGGTTGATGTCATCCTTCTTCCCTTGCCGTTCCCACTGCCACATATTAATTTATTCAATATTTTTGTATACAGTTAATCTAAAATTACAATTAAATATTTAAGTCCAGATGAGAATTTGAAATTCAATAATTAAGTTAAAATATTCGCTTTTCTAATATTTAAAAATCATTATAAAAATTAATGTCTTAATGTAAGTATATTTTTAAGTTAACATTTTAACAAAAACATATATGTAATTCTTTACAATTACACTCAATTTTAAATTAAATTTTTATAATATATTTTATTTTAATTGAGCCCTTACAGTTTGATGAACTAAATTTTTTTAATCCCTAAAAATTAAAATACTTAAAATTTTTTTTAAAAAATAAAACTTTTTTATATTTTTATTAAATGATATATAACTTTAAAATTAATTACATAATTTTTATAACTCAAAATTTATATAATTAGGTTTCTTCTAAATTTTTTTATGCATATATAATTTTCATAAAAATAATAATAAATATAAATAATGAGTTAAATCAATTTTTTATCTTGGCTAAAATTATTAATTAAATTT